GGGGGGGAGAGGGAGGGGAGCGGAGGGAGGGAGGGAGGGAGGGAGGAAGGGAGAAAGAGAGAGAGAGAGAGAGAGAGAGAGAGAGAGAGAGAGAGAAAGAGAGAAAGAGAGAAAGAGAGAGAAAGGAGGCAGAGAGACAGAGAGACAGAGACAGAGAGTTGAAGTAGAAATTTCTGGTTTCTTTGGAGACTCAGTTGTGTCATGTGATGTTTTTCTGGTAACTTATGTGAAGATGTTTTGCTGAGAACAAACACGTGATGTTTTTCTGGAAGCTGCCTGGAAAGGGGGCATGTGATATTTTGGTAGAGTTGATACTGGAGAAGACATGTGATGTTTGGAAAGGGTATAGATATAACCCAACAGACAGTAGATAATGCTGTGGATATTGGTTTGTCTTGCTACTCCTTGCTGGTCTGATGCTGGTCTTTGCTGACAACACTGTAGCATTGGTCACCTTGCCTTCCTTGCTGACTTCATGGAGAACTTCTCATCATATTTCAATAGCTTCTTGTCACTTCTGCACAGACTCTGGCCAATTGGCAGAGCCTTGTGGTTTCTTTTGGATCAAGCAATCACTGATGATTCCTATGAGCTGAACTGCTGATATCCTGACAACGATGTTCAAGGCATTGGAGAAGAGAGTTACAATCAGTCTCAACATCTTGTGTGAACACCTCTTCACTTATAAATTAAAAGACATTAAAGAATTTTTACTGTGAATGCTCATCTAAGTCTCTATCAGCAGCTGTTACCAGGAGGGAGTCCTTTGGGGAAAGGTAAATGCCCAAAACTGTTCTGGATTCGTAGAAATTGGCTTTGAAATGACTCTGATTCCTAGAGTCAAAACATTGTGGTCCACTGGTCAGAGTTGTGGTCTATGATAGGTAATGGGAACATTGATTGGCCTAAATACCAGCTTTAATGATGACTCCTCCTGTGCTCATTTTCACATACCTAGAATGCAAAGTAGAAAGACATACAGTTAGTTAGAAGCAATATTCTGTATGTATTTCCTCTCTCCTGTGGTGATCATTCCTTTTGCTATTGTAGGGAAGGCCAGTGAAATTCCTTGAGAGTACCCTGCCCATCTACTTTTGATGAAAGTGTCAGCAAAAAGAATGCCACATTCAGGAGATCATTGACACCATCAGAGACAGGATAGGTAATGATTCCCACCATATTTCCATCTAGCTATGCTTTAGGTTGGTATAAATCCTATTCAGGTCTCAAAGGAAAGTTAGAGTATTATTAGGGCAATCAGATTATGGTACCAACTGCAGTTATGCTTACAGATGGGCATCTTTATTAAAATGAGCCTACAATCTCTCCACTACTTGACATATACCTTCAGATAGTGAATGATATCAATTTCTGATAGAAGAATGTATCACAAACATGGAGTCTCCATGAGGCAGAGATAGCATCCAGTTTCCATTACATTTCCTCAAGTCTCTTTCAACTTCCTAATTTCTTCTGATAATCCAGGGGGATCTTAACTGGCTTTATATTCCATAGAATACTATGCTGGTCCATTACATTGTATGCAGCAAGGATTACTAAATCCTGACACAAGTGCCCTTCAAATCTTAGTAAGACTTCTGGATGCTGGAGACTGGGGGATAAATCTCATGAGAGTTAAGAGCTCAGCACAAAGGCTGGGGTGATTAAAGTCATTTTTCTAGGTAGAAATCATGTAGATGCTTCACAATGAGGTATGCCCAGCAATGTAATACTTTTTCTCCCAAACCTAAGGTCAATGGAAAATTACAGTAACCAAAGAAAGCAAGATCATTGGGAACCCAATTCTTCAGAAA